GCTACACCTACAGAAACGTCGACCAACAGGCCGAGAACTCGGCGAACGGGAATGCCGCAAGAATCGGCACCTCCTATCGAGGCTACGGTGATCACGAGGGTCAAGAGACGGAAGAAGAGATGGATGATTTCTACGCGAGAACCTCGGAGATCATCACGTTCGCCGAACCCGGTAAGTTCTCTCTCTCTTTCTTGCCCTCTGCGTTGAGGAACGAAGAGAGGTCTTGCGATTGTCATTCGACCGCGAACTCTTAACGCGTGTACGCGCATGCGCACGCGCACCTCCGGTTTTCGCTGAATTTTTCAATCTGTCGCCACCGCATCGCCACCGCATCGCCACGAATCACGTTAAAACAGCTCTTTACAAACGAAGGAAACGATATCGTACGAAATTTCATCGATTCGTAACACGCGGCACTGCACACGCGTTACGCCGCACGCGCGCATCGTCCACGTTCTCCCTACTGTGGTGAACCTGCGGCGACCTTTATCAGCGTCCGTAGTACGGCCAATAAGACGGTCCACTTTGGAAGCTCTTCGCTTCTCGCCGCCTTCCGTTCGGCGATCGCGACGCGATCGATCTTCGAGCGAAAGTCACCCAACGAGGGTGTTGAAGAGAGAAAGGCGTGGTTCGAACGTTTCAATTCGTTTTCCCGTAGGCGGAAAGCCTACCATCCAAAGCCGGAACCATCCAATTTTCACGCTGTTCGTGGTTAGGTTTGTCCACTTGGTCGATCGGCCCGTTATCTGAATCGCGATCGTACGAATCGCGAAAGAAGCGATTGAGGCAAGCGCAGAGCGAGGGGGAGAGTGGCGTACGCAGAGTGAACGTCACGGACGACACCTTAGTTCGCGTGCACGCGTGGCCACACGCCTGAAGCCACGTGGCTCTAAGGTATGGATGTCGCGCCACGCCGATCTATAGTTCGTACCGTAGTTCAGTAACTCTAAGTTTAACAATAAGGGTAATAGAGCTAGCCAGAGGTAGAGCCGGCAATGTTGGCCAGCGTTTACGGCCATGCCCTGCTATTCCTACCTAACGTCCCAACGTCGCGTCGGGGTTAATTTAACCAGTTGTTTCTCCTTTAATTCCCATCTCTCCCCATCTACTCCCATTTTCCTTCCCCCTTATTCCCTCGCCGAAACATCTCGCCAACATCTTTTTCTTACTTCGGGGAAACGAGCCTATCGGTTACAATCCAAATCGAATTCGGAGCTGAGCTGGTGAATACATATTCATCGTGATCGGCCTGCTGCCGGCGATGCGACATGCGTGATACTTTAACGTTAATGTCGCCGTCACTATACATAGCCGGTGAACACGTCATTCTTTTTGAAGAAACTAAAGAAACTATAAACCACCATCGCCTCTTCGATATCGATCCCGTTCACAGGGAGCAGTGCGTGGTGGCGGCGGAAAACTTGTTCCATAGTTTTTTTTTGTCCACGATCGGTACTCGGTAACGGTTCCTGGACCTCGTAAATTTACAGCGATCAAGGAACGTGTTTGTTATTCCGCGATTCTGCTTAAGGTCCACAAGCGTGCTTCTTCTGCCATGATAATATCGACCAGGAAATAACGATAGTTTTATAGCCTCTCGAACGCCACAGTGGATACCAATTAAATCGTATCAATTCCATTTTTCCCTCGATCACAGCCCGCGCGGCACTTTTGTAGGTGAACCAGCTAAGGGGATAGCCGAGTCTCGACCACTGCTCACTTTGAATCGATACAAGAACAAGTTCCGTTCTCGTTTAAAAGTGCGTTTCAAGCGGTTACCCGAACTAGAAGGTAGCAGGAACCGTGGTGCAATCCGGTGACGATGAGAAAACAACCAGGTTGAACCGACCTATGTAGTTGGATTGTACAGCCCGTCTTGAACGACTATATTTTCACCACCCTTCGACAGCCGGGCCATTTGAAAACAGTTGGACGATAAGACATCGTAAGAATTTATGCGTCTTAGACGACGACGACGACTTAGTCGTCAAGGACGAATACGATATCTCTGGTGGACAAAGACGAAGACGAAGACGACGTTGACGAGATAGAAAGAAAATAACTAAGAATCTGGCGATTCTACGCAACGCTTTGCCAACAATCATCGGCCACGCTTAATATAATAATTAGTTAGATCGGAAAGCGCGCGCCTATTCGCAAACCTTGCTTCTACACACCTAACGCTTTCCTCCCGTCGAACAACTTTTCTCCACAAAGTGTTTCAATCGGATATTAATGCCGCGCGACCTTCTTAATATTTTAACCCCTCGGCTTAAACAGAGCCCAATTGATTTTCTGCTTTAACCGTCTCTTTTTGCGCGGAGATGCGACACGTGGACAACCGCGCTTTGCGTAAAAAAATTAACCACGTAGCGCTCTCTTTGCCTGTTTCCAACAATTTGTGCACGTGCATTGCATGTATCCTGTTTACCTACGTAGTGTACTTGTTACCTACTCAAACGATACAGAAATGCTGCGGGTGCCTTAGAACAATTACAAAAGGCAAGTCACCCCTGTACCGAAAATCTTCTGCTAGTACGTCTCTGCACGATTCACGTCGGAAATTTTTCTATCCCGATCAGATTCCGCATAGTGCTTCTTACGTTTCGTCCATATATCCTTTTATTATACACATATCGTTAACCATGTTGCGTACACTCGTTGCGATTGCTTGCGCACAGAGGAGGAGCACCAAATGAAAGGGGAAAATTACAAGTATCTACGTGGCATCAGAGAGTTACGTTATTTGTTGGAATATTCACGTCGTCGTCGTCGTAGGTAGAAGCTGGCCATTATACGTGCTCGACGGTTGTTCTCTTTTAAAAGGACTTGGCGGCGGCGCTCCGTTGAACGCAATTCTTTGTGAAAGCTTTGGCGGCCGTGGCTCGTAACTCGTCGCACGTACATATATACCAATTGTAGTAAAAGAAAAAGAAAAAAAAAGCAGAAATCCCTGTCGCTTTTTCCCTTTTCGTTCACCGAATAGATATTTCTCCTCTGTGACGTTTGTGGATGTTTCGAACCATCCACAGAGAGATAAGGTTGTAAAGGGCCGTGCGGAAGGAGTTTAAACGTTTAAACGATTGCAGATCGATTGCCGACGCGTGTCGGAAGTTTGCAACGAACGGAGGTTTGTCAACTATTTTTCTCACGAACTATGCCAAGGCTTTGGAAACTCTCGCAGCATCCGATCGATCTATTTCCCTTGGACGGACCAACCGCAATAGTCTCCGATTAGGTAATAACCGATACGTAATCGCAGCCAATTGGAACGCGTTAAACGCACCCCGTAATCCGTTAAAGTCCGCTCTTAATGGTTGCGCTTTTAACCGTAATAGACTACATCCACTAGTCGGAGTGCTTCCTCGAGACCCGCTTGACCTTGGACACTTTCGAGGCTCTGACGAGAGAGGGAATCCCAATTCTTCGTCAATTTTCTCCTGTCCCGATACAATTGAAATATAGCAACTGTTGGGATTTCCACGGCAGAGGGTAATCGTGGTTGGTGGATCGGAAATCTTGGAAGATCGATCGATCGTTTTCTAAAATGATCAACGTGTCAGAGGATAGGAAGAAAGTCCTGGGCTAGAACGGCGAGTTCGTTCAACCTGAGTGAGAATCCCAGGGACAAATTCGTTGGATAGGAGGCGCGCAGGGGTTAAGACACGACCTTCCAGGCGGTGGCGCGAAAGAAGAAAAGGGAGATTTCTTCCTTGTTCTCCCTCTCTCCGTTCGTATACGATAGGTCGGTGGTCGAGGGTGGTGTGGGATACGGTGGAAATGTCGAAGCAGGAAAGCTGACGGGATGTTGAGAGTGGGGTGGTACGGTTCGAGATGCGTTGGAGTGGGACAGGGTCGAACTCATGGACGAACGAGCCGACGGATAGGACGGCTGGCGCCTGTAGTCAGATCGATGCACGTGGCTCCAGCTGGGCGCCGCTCTTCGTACATCTCCTACTACACCCCTTTTATTCCCTCTTGACTCTCCTCATCCTGCCGCGCTACACTCTCTGCTCTAGGATAGAAATCGAGGGTGTGTTTCTCCTTATTCTATCTCGCTTCCTCCGCCACTATCGCCACCGCCGCCGCTGCCGCTGCCACTGCCACTGCTACTGCTACTGCTGCTCCACGGCCCATCCCTTTGCCCCGTGCTCTTTCTTCAGACACGTTGCACGTCTTCACTCGGCTCCACTGCTCCCTTCCTTACGTTTTCTTTATTTCGTCGGCTGAACGCGCGGTTTCGTCTAGCGTGCCGCCACTCTAATCTTCTCACTGTCTATCCCTGCCCGCCCTCTTCTCTCTTCCGCAACATCGGCGATGGCAAACTGCGTGAATATTTTTCACACGATTCGTTCAGTTACAGTTCGTGAAGAGAAAAAGGAATAGAAATTCGTCTAATTATTTCGCTATAGCATCCTCCGGCGTGGGAAACGCCCCGCGTTTCATCCCACATCTCCGTCCCTTATTCTCTCAGAATCGGATACGTTTCATGTATTTACGACTTAAAGCGACAGCGTTTTCATTTTTGGAAATGAAACGCGCACAGGACACGGAAAAGTCGATATAAAGCGGACGTGCGAGGAGGGGGGTTGGGCCGGTAGCGGTAGCGGTAGCGGCTTGGAGGGGCAAGGGAAATTCGCAGGCGATACGCGTCAATCGAATCGTAATTGTGGCAAACGAATCTTGACCGATCGCTCGGAAGACGACGACACGATCGAATCGAGGGATAAACCGCGACAATATTATTATTATTATTATTATTTTTAGATGGCAGTCGAGCACGCGACAACTGCGACATAGGCACCATTACCAGCAACCTAAACTTCTCCGTTTTTATCGTAAAAACGATTTCGCTTTTTACAATATATCGTTCAGCGTGAATCAACCGCTCGTTTCGTAACGATCAGCACGAATCGATCGATCAGCGTGCGGTGTGCCTGACTGCCTGCCTGCCTGCTTCCCTGCCTTCACTCCGGATAAGTTGAGCCTTCTCAGGGCCAGTAAGATGGATGGACGTCATCATCGGGTCCGTACACACGTGACTGAAATGGCGGTGCGCGTTACACGACTGGCTACGTAGCGTGAGCGACCACGTGGTGGCGATAAATCTGGATCAGGGTTACCAACCAGCTATATCTGACCCTCTTATTTGACTGACCGTATTACGGTCAATCGTCTCGGCCCTCTATAAGATACGCGATATAGTGGACGGCTAGTGGACGCGAGTCGGTATTATTGAGCAGCGCATCGGTATCGTGTCGTTCCGTAATTAGATTCGCACCGAGGTCGACAATGTTGGAGTTTCGACCGTGGAGAAGAAGGTGGCGACTTACCATCGCCTCCACCACCACCGCCGCTACCCGCGACGGCTCGTTTCACCCTATTCCCCGCTAGCGTAACCACTTTAAACAGTTTTATCGACGACTCGTCGTATACGATACTCGGTTATTCTTCTTCTTCTGCGTCTGCCACACCAATCGCACTCCCCTTTTCCACTTCACCTCGATCGTCGGCGATCGTCTCCTTTATCCTCCGTCTCCATCATCCTCCATCCAAGTCGTATATCGCATTTTCTCTTCGATCGGTTCCATCGACAGTTCTATCTTGGAACCACAGGACATTCGAATAAATTTCATTTCCAAAAGTGAAAAACTGTTGGTTGGTAGGGTGATATTAATGGCTCTCCCTGCACAGTAGGAAATACAGTCGGGTTAACCTGACTTTCTTTTCGCGCGGGTAACTTCTTGGCCACTGCGAATCATTATCTTAAGAATCATGCCTCGAGCTCCCTCTTCTCTCCTCCGAACGTTGGCTCCTTTTTCTCGCTTCCCTTTTATCCCGTGTTCATTCGTAGCGATTTTCCTCTGCGTTACTATGTATACTGTGCGACGCGACGCGACGCGACGCGACGCGACGCGACGTCTTAAATGGACGACTTGGCGACGAGGAGAACCCCTCTTTCCTTCGGTGACGTGCTCCCGCACCAAATTTACGAGCACATTCTCCCGTGATCGTGCTAACCTCGTTTACGAGCAGTCGCATACCATCGAGAGAGAGAGAGAGAGAGAGAGAGAGAGAGAATCGCGACAGACCGATATATTATATATTCCGTCATCCTCTTCCGACGGTTCCTTCCGACGGATGTTGCGGAACATCGCGTATACGTGTACATTTCTTTCTCCTTTTCCTCTTCTTCTTTCATCCCTGTACTTGCCCTGTACTTGATAAGTGGACGTTACACAGGATCGAGTTCCATTAACCCTTTCGAAAGATGCGAGGAATGTAGATTCGGTGTTGTCGCATTGCGGCGCAACGGCAAAAGTACCCGATGTACCGACCTCGAAAAGTGCGACACACGATGCACTCGAAAGTCGAGCGAGGCCGGACGAAAGTCGTACAACGCCCCTCTGGATTCATCGGTTGCGTCTGCATCGCGAGCGAGCGAACGAAAAATTCAGCAACGATTCTCATTCTCCGAACAAATACCTTTTGATATACCTAAGTAAGCGTTCCTTCCAACGCAAACAGGTTAATTCCAGATTAATTGCTGAATTCTTCTCTTTCGAGCGATCGGATGGGAAACTCGTTCGATTTAAGCACCGATTCCTACTCTTTTACATGTTAATTTCGCAGTTTTCCCATTTCACCGGTAGCAGGATCGTGTAGCGATCTAGCACTTAGCGAAAACGACGAAGAATGTGGCCGGCGTTGCGGGCTGGGAGGGAACGGAGACGTTGCGCGATATGTATTCGGAAAATATACATACGTATGCAAATACGAAATGTCTCCAAGCTATTTCCTCCGTTTTTACTCGCAATCGCACCACGAAATATTGTATTTCCCCACAATTTCCCGGCAAATTGGAGAAGCCCTGCGTATACGCTCGTGTCTAGAATCACAAGGTAAGTACATACGTGTACATACACTATGTATGTAAGCACTTCCGCATCTCTCTTTCCGTTCGGTGCCTCTTAGAAGATCGAAGAAGCTAGCAGACAGGAAGGAAAACGTTCGTTACTGGAAGAAAGAAGTTTCCGGTCTCGTTATTTCCGAATAAGTTAGAATAAGGTAGAATAAGTTGGTGGAACGGCAGAGACGGTCTTATTGAAACGACCACGTCCACGAGTCTTGTGGCAGCTCTCCTGATCCGCGAGCCAAAATCTCGTTGCTGGTCACGGTGCATGATGGACGATATTGATCGCGCGATTCGCGGTTTCTTGTACAAAGAAACGGGGACGACTAGATTACTATATCGAGAAGGAAAAGGGAAGGGAAGTGGACAAATGCACTGTTGGTGCGTGCGTATGTACTTATGTCGGTTGGTCCATGCTTAAAGCGAGTAAGGTTAAGCGAGTACAGCCGGGAGATCGGTAGGTTGAATATCTCCGCGGTTGGCGTCACGCCGCTCCGTCCCGTAGAGGCTAGAGGGGTGTGGACGTCGTTGACTCTACAGGGGAGTCTCCGGCCGCGTGTGCCGGTGTCGGTGTCGGGGTCGGTGTCGGTGGTGCTTACAGACTGGCTGCGCAAGGGTGGGAAAGAAAAGGAAATAGCGGGCGACGGTGCACCGGGCAGAGGGGTTTGCAGAAAGGGTGGAAGAGAAGAGAAGAGAAGAGAAGAGAAGAGAAGAGAAGAGAAGAGAAGAGAGAAGCGGGGGAGGGGATTAGGTAAGGGATGGGAATGAAAGGGGTGGAGTGGTGAAAGAAAGGGCAAACGGGTTGTGCGGGGAATGGAAGGCGGAAGGCAGACGGGCGGCAGACACCCCATGCTTATCCCCGCCTTTCCAACGACTCCCAGTCCGTGACTCACCAAACCGTTAAGGGATGAAGCCACGCTGGTTTCCATGTATGCGAGTTCTACACACGCTCACCCACAGATATTCGCGAACCTGCTCATGTCTACGCGTGCACTGTTCGATAGCCGCGATGTACATATCTCTTGTTACGCTTGTACAACCTTCTCCCGCCTCTTCTATTTCATCGTGGTACCCTGTGTGCGCCAACGCATACTACGTCAATATATCCTCCCACGTACGCACACACGCGCCACTT